TAACTCGATCAAAAGAGTGGACAAAAGACACAAACAGGCGATTGACTAAAGATGACATCCAGGCAGCCAACATCATATGCAGAAACCTTCAAGTTCACGAGCCATCCGAAAAAGACAAAACCAGTGAGGTGCCACCTCACACGGACACTCCACACAAACATTTCTTAAAAAGCTCACAGAAAACCCCAAGTGCCAGAGAGGCTGTGGAGCGATCGGAACACCCCTGCACCGCTGGTAGGATGGTCGAGTTGTACAAGCACAAATCAAACAAATGCAAATACAAATACCGACCTATGAGCCTGCAATCTCTCTGCGGGCACAGGCCCGGAAGGAGCAAAGAACAACACAGGAAGGGGCAGAGGCCCACCCATGTGTCCCACCGCAAAAAGATGAGAACTGTCAGAAGTGGACAGACAAACGCGTCTCCACTCACACAATGCCTCCGAGGCTTCCTGAACAAAGTGGCAGCCTGCGGGGCCCTCACGACGGGCAATCTTAGAGGAAGGATGCTGGCTCCCCAAGGTTCCTCAACCTCGGAAGGACAGATACAGAAAGACACCATTGTGATAAGCGAAAAGAAAGAACAAGAAAATGGTCTCACTTTAAAGACAAAGCAAAGGCCGGGTGGGAGGGGCGGGTAGAGAAGGGAGAAGAAAGGATGGAGGGAAGGAGGGGGGGGAAAGAATCACCTCTGGGGGATGGGGGGGTTAATGGGACACTGTTACTGATTCCATTTGATGGGCGGGGCGGGGCAACGCCATGGACTATGTCCTTCTTTGGAAGTTGTCCGTTCCACAAACAAAAGGGGAAACCTAAAATATCGGTAAGTAAATAAAAACAAAACGAGATAAAACTGCAATTTTAAAAGGAAGAGAGAAGGGTCACAGCCTTAGAAACCCCCCAGGTTCCCTCCCCTGCCCCCACCCCCCACTTTGATCTAAACACTGGACCGGACAAGGGCTGCAGCAGGGAGGAAAAGCCCAACTGACCCGGACTTGGGCGCTTTTATGACAAGTTGCTTTCAGACAAGAAAGATCCGGTACAACAGAGCTCCGATCCGTCCCGGGGAGCCCACGCCACCCCAGCGGGGTCAGAGCAGCCAGCCTGAAGCTTGACCCCTGTCTGTTCACCCCAGGCCTCCCTTTATATAGGAGAGAGAGAGAGAGAGAGAGAGAGAGAGAGAGAGAGAGAGAGAGAGAGAGAACTGTGCAGATCTACATCCCTATCTGTTTCTGTCTGCACAAGGGGCCCCGCAGGGAGAGGGCTGTGCTTGAACAGAGAGCAGAGCCTCTGGGGCCTCCTTATATGGCCCAGAGGCCTCCCGGAGGATGAGGGGGAAAGAGATAAGCCAGGAGGGATGGCCTGGCAGCTGGGATGGTGGAGGTTGGCTGTTGTGCACCTTTCCTGAGAGAAGTGCCTCCCCCTCCCCCACCAGCTCCCGCCCTCCCTCTTGGCCAGGGACTTCTGTCCCTGTGTAGGCTTGGCTGGGCCGCCTCGGCTGTCTTTGACCTCTTTACCACAGCAAGCGTCATGGTGTGTTCTTGGTGGTCTGATGAACTTTGGGCGAGGAGCAATGCTTTTTAACTAGAGGGATATAAATTAGGCTAGACAGTAGAAGGAACTTCCCACTCTTAGAATAAGGAGACAAGGGCATTTACTAAGGGGTGGGGGAAAGGGCATTTACTAAGGGGTGGGGGGAAAGGGGGGAGATGGAGAACTTTCTTTCAGAGAGTTTGTTAGAGAAAGTCCTGCCTTTAGAGACTTGGAGGCAGGACTCTGGATATAATGGATATAACTTCACCCAATTGTCCTGAGAAGCTTGTGGTCCCCTTGGTCCCCTTGTCTCTACCTTTACACCCCCTCCCCCAGGAGAGCAACCCCCTCCAAGGACGGATGATTGAATAACCCCGTGCTTTTCTCTGTCCTGGGGCCTGGCACGGCACAAACCCATGACCCACGGCAGTCCAGTCGTTCCGAGCCCGACTCACAGCGACTCTGAGCAGACAGAGACACCCATCAAAGATAAGGGGTGACCAGACGTCCCGCTTTGGGCGGGACAGTCCCAATTTGTAACAATTTTCCCCGGCGTCCTACAGCGTTTTTAAAAAGTCCCTGTTTTGGGAAAGAATGCACGACAAGCTAGGGTATATGGTTTTCGGCTGC